TCCACCTTCCAGGCCTGTCATGGAGGTGCCCACCCTCAAGCCGCTCTCGGAAGACCAAGCTCGATTCTACTTCCAGGACCTGATCAAAGGCATTGAGTACTGTAAGCGGGACCTGGGGGAGGCCCCTTCCCAGGGTGGTAGGTGGAGAGTGGAAAGTTCCTTCTCTCCCTCCTGGAATGCGAGGAGGTGGGCGGGAAGCAGAACTGTGTGAGAGGCAGAGTCACGTGCCAAGCCACACAGAGCCAGCCGTCCTGGGGCCGTGCCATGCAGAAAAGACTGTCCTAGAGGTTCTCTTAGTCCTGACCAGTATCCAGCACTTTCTGCGCACACCCAGCACTGTCTGACCTCGGCACTCATTGTCCCTCCCTTTCCTGACAGGCCTGTGATGGGTCCTGTCAGCCACCTGCACCTTTGTGTCCCGTGTGTGTCTCTTATGGCTTCCTTAACAGGTGGCCTCATACGAAGCAGCTCTAGCGTAACAGAACGTGTTTTCTTTCTGGAAGCTGCTGTTGACAGCCGTGCTCTCTCGAGGCTGCAGAGGAGAGCCTCCCTCGCCTCCTTCCAGCCCCTGCTGGTCGTTGGCCTTCCTGGTGTGGTCTCCCTCTTCCTGTGTGCCTTCCCTGTGGTCCTGTGTCTCCTCTTACGAGGGCACCGCCATGTGGGACGAGTGTCCAAGAAGATCTCATGGTCACCAATCACATCTGCAAAGACCCCACTTTCCAGATAAAGTCACCACCCGAGAGGTTCCAGGGAGACATGGCTTTGGGGAGATGTTCTTCAACCCATGACCTTTCCCCATCTGTCCAATGGGGATAAAGTACTCTGGACTCTCACCCACCATTGGCTGGTGCTCTTTCCATTTCTAGTCTCCCCCATGCCTGTCAAAGCATAGGGCTGTTGTGAGTGTTGAATGGGGCTGAGGGCTGGGCCCAGAGCCAGACGGGCAAGCAGAGGAGCTGCTGCGGTTCCCCGATACCGTCATGTCCGTCATCATCTTCATCGTCCGTCATCCTTGCGATTCTAGAAACGGCAGTTGGGCCTTCCAGACCAGAGGCATCTGAGGGTTCTCTGGAGAAACGGAATCAGTAAGATAGACCCAGCTTTAGGTACACAGTCACCACGCAGTGGACTCCCACATACCAACCCTGGGGACCATGGTGCAGGCCGGGACGCCGCGTTTTTCTGTTCTACGTCAGATCCTTTGTGCGTCTGAGTCCACGCAACAGCAGCTCACAAGAGCAACCCCAATACAGGTTCCTGTTCAGGATTGGCTCACACACTGGTCGAGGGCTGGCAAGGCCTAAACCTGTAGGTGAGGTGGCCAGCTAGAGATCCCTGCCGTCTTGTGTCCCCAAAACCATAAGGAGTGGAGAGTAGAGTTTAGGTGAGATATCTGCTTGTGGTCTGGAGGCCGAGGACACTCTAGGGTAAACTCCCTCTTTGCCCATAAGGCTTTCCACCGATTGGAGGAGGCCCACCCCCACCCCCCACAGGAAGGGAGGGAGCTCTACTTTACTTAAGCGAGCTGATTTAATCACGTGGAACTTTTTTTAAAAATAATTTTATTGGGGACTCTTACATCCATCCATCCATTGTGTCAATCACCTTTGCCCATATGTTGCCACCTTAATTTTCAAAACATTTTCTTTCTACTTGAGCCCTGGGTATCAGCTCATTTGGAACTACTTCTTAACAGTAACGAGACTAGTGTTTGACCAAGCAGCTGGGCGCACCATGGCCCAGCCAAGTTGAGGCAGAAAATGATCCATTACAGTAGGGTTGTCCCCTGCCACCAGCTGGCATCTGGGCAGGAACATCTGGTCGGCTCATCGTTGGGCTGGTGGACAGGTTGACTGTGGCCATCAGTAATGAAAGCGCGTTTGACCTACATCCATAGTTGAGGCTCCCCAGTGGGAGCCAAGCTCAGCACAGCCACTGGGACATAGCAGTGGCAGCAGGCTGTTACTGTATTGAGAGTTGTGTTTCAATCTTTATCTTTGGGAGGGGTTGCTTCCTTCAAGAAATTCTCCTTATCTTTCAAGTGGGTGTTCAGCAGCATGGGGGAGGGAAGGCTGGGAAGGGCCTAGAACCTTGGGAGACATACCAGAGGGTGCCAGGCTGTGTCTGGACGGGGCAGGCCACATGGAGATTCTTAGGTGGCTCCCCCTCCCACCCAGTGCACTACCAGAAGATCGTCCACCGGGACATAAAACCTTCCAACCTCCTGGTGGGAGAAGACGGGCACATCAAGATCGCCGACTTTGGTGTCAGCAATGAGTTCAAGGGCAGCGACGCGCTCCTCTCCAACACCGTGGGCACGCCCGCCTTCATGGCGCCCGAGTCTCTCTCGGAGACCCGGAAGATCTTCTCGGGGAAGGTATCCGGGCGCATGGGCTGGGAACGTGGGCTGGACCTCCTGAAGGGGTGCATGCTGCCTGGGCGAGGGTCTTAGCCGAGGAGGGGGGTATGGCTGGCTTGGGGCTTAGCTGGACACAAGGGCTCAAATGAGCTGGTCTCTTTCCTTCCCTCTGCTGTTTTCCTGTCTCGGTGTCATCAGCAAGACCGCTCAGTCACGAGCTCTCTCTGAAGAGTTTCAGCAAACGTCCCGGGCTTGGCTCTGATTGGCCCAGCTCCGATTCTTGCCCATCCTTGAGCCAGGTGTTACGCCTGGCTCTCATTGGCCAGGCCCAGGTCATAGGCCCACCAGGGAGCCCAGGGGCAGGCTCAGCCTTGTCCCCACTTGAAGGATGAAGGTCTGGAAGGGAGGACTGGGGGATCGGACGCAGGCCAGGCAGTGCAGTGGGTGGCCTCAGGAGCTCCTTCCCCTCTCCCCTCACACCACGCTCTCTCCTTCTTGCAGGCCTTGGATGTCTGGGCCATGGGTGTGACGCTGTACTGCTTTGTCTTTGGCCAGGTAACGGGGTAGGGTGTCCTGTCCCCTGAGTGCTCTTGGGGAGCCCCCTGGGCTAAGGCTGGCTAGTAGTCATCAGCTTTGTGGGGAGGCAGTCCGTATTCGTTGGAAGGTTACACCATCTCTTCTTTCCACAGCTAGATCTGAAAGTGAAAACTAAATCCTTTCCAAGTATGTATGTATTTGTATGTGATGATCTCATCTGTGGAGGGAGAAAAAAAATTCTGTGTAAACAGACTGGTTGACAGAGGCTCTAGAGCCGGTAAATAATTGATAAATCTAAGACAAGGACAACAAACGGCCTCGAGTCAGGCATCACTAATCCATAGCAGCACTCTTTCTCCTGGATGGGCCCATTCCTCCAGCGCATGTGCTTGATCTACTCCTGGTGCCTTATGAGGGAGCATCCTCTTGACACCTGGAGGGTGGAGAACGGGTCAGGCTCCCATCCGGCTTCTTCCCTAGCCAGGACCCCTCCCCTTGTACTTTGTTTTCTCTTCCATAAAATAAGAATACTGGTCCTTGTTTTGGATGGCTTCTGTGAGGATTGACAGAAACAACTCAGATATATTCCTTATTTCAAAGATATTCACTGAGCCCCTGATCGAGGCCAAAGGAGTTTTCCTAGGCACTGAGGAGTCAGCGTGAGCAAGACAGACAGAAACCTCTGACCTTGTAGGACTGGAGGAATTAAGCAGTCAACAAATTAATATATAGTATGTAATAATAAACAGGCAGCATATTTTTCATTGTGTAAATCATCTAGAAAAGGCACCGTAAACATGGAAGATACAAAACCAGGTGATTTGCTCTCAGGGAGACCTGCTGTGGTGAGAAATCAGAAGGTAGAGTTGGGGAGAGGGGGACTCTTAACGGTGCCAGAGAAGGCCTCGCTGAGCAGGTGAGCTCTGGGCGAGACCTGAAGCAAGGGAGAAAGCATGAGGAAGAACATTCTAGGCCGAGGGAACAGCCCACGACATGTGAGCCAAGAAAACCTTGGGCACAGGGCCTGTCCAGCCTCTGCTGTGGAAGGCCACTGCAGCCACGACTGGATGGCTTTTTTGTCCAGGTGCCATTCTTATTCACCTGGTTCACCGGGGGGAGGGGGTGCGGAGTAAGAGGCCTTGCAGGTAAACTGAAGCCCAGCTCCTCAGTGGAGTTGAGGCAGCAGTGCTCCTGGCCTTCTGGAAGGAGGTCTGTGGGCCTTCTAGGATTGGGGGATAGGAATTGCTCCTGCCCCATCAGAGGAGGTGACACGCACATGGCCCTAGGTCCTGAGGTGGGCTGGTGCCACAGGTCGAGGGGGTGTCAAGACAGTGGCCTCCTAGAGTTGGGGTCACCTAGTGTAGTACCTTCTCACTCCCCCACCCCACCAGCAGCTACCTGTTAGGATGGGGTTGCCCCACCAGGGGAGGGGCGTTTTCAGCTGGTATCGCCCATGGTGTGTGTGTGTCCCCATGGGCTACTGCACTGGGTGACACCTACTCGGGCTGTGACTGCCACTGACCTCTGCCCTTGGCCTCTCCTTAGTGCCCGTTCATGGATGCACGGATCATGTGTTTACACAGTAAGATTAAGAGCCAGACCCTGGAGTTCCCAGACCAGTGAGTATGCCAGCTGCCCCTATCGGCCCCTCCCCGAGTTCTGCTTGCCCCTCCCACCCAGCCCCCAGGCATGCACCTCTCGCCCTCACTCCGCCGTGTCTCTCCAGGCCTGACGTCGCGGAGGACTTGAAGGACCTGATCACCCGCATGCTGGACAAGAACCCTGAGTCCAGGATCCTGGTGCCGGAGATCAAGGTACCAGAGGGCTGTGTGGTCGGGGGGCATGCGCCCAGCTTGGCTGTGCCCTGTGCTTGGAGTTGTCTGGCTCAACCCACCTTGGCTCAGCCCACTCCTCCCTCCAGAGCGCCCACCCTCCTTGGCACCACTGCCCTCTGGGCTGCTGGGGGCTGGTGACCAGAGGGAGTAGATCTTGAGGATTGGAGCCACCAATGGGATATCAGGTACAGGGCTGACCGGCTAGGCAGCCTGGACGCACTTGGATTGGCTCCCTGCCCCAGTGCCAGCCCCTTGGGGAAGGTGTTGCAGAAACACCATTAGGAGAGACCCTTACATGGCTCCCCCTTCCTCCACCCCCGATGCTCCTATCCGGCCCTCCAGAGATTTGCTCTGGGGAAACTCGGGCCCTTAGCAAAGGAGCATGGAAGGACAGCCCTGATGGCTGGGCAGTCAGAGCCATGACCCCACAGGGAGGAGTGCAGAGCCTGCCTGGGTCCCCCTTGGTTGCGTCCCTCCTGCTGGTCTCACCTGCCAGAGCCTAGTCCCCAGGCGGCAGGGCTGAGGAGGGACTACTTCCGGTCCTGTCTGCTGAGACCGCAGGCAGTCAGAGAGGGAGACTCCGGGTCCAGCACACATTTCATCCTCAAAGCCCCACCCACCCTGCCTTTCCGCCTTGTGTCTCCGTCTCCTCCCGCCTCTGCTGCATGCCCTCTTGCTCTCTGCCCGCTGCCCGCTGTGGGCGCCGCGTGCTCTCGTCCTCCGCGAGCTGGCCGCCGCCTCACCCTCCTGTCGTTCGTTGAAGCTGCACCCCTGGGTCACGAGGCACGGGGCGGAGCCGCTGCCGTCGGAGGACGAGAACTGCACGCTGGTCGAGGTGACCGAAGAGGAAGTTGAGAACTCGGTCAAACACATTCCCAGCCTGGCGACCGTGGTAAGGCGGCCTGCCCGGCACGCTGCTTTAGAGGAGGGACAGAGCCTGCCGCGTCCCCCGCAGATGCTGGGCCTAAGGGGCTGCCCTGCACCCACAGGTCCCCTGGGGGCATGATCACTGCAGCCCAAGTGGCCCTACCCCTTTTGAGAACCAGCTAGGGCCCAGTACCATCCAGAGGGCTGCCCTTGGGGCTACGAATCTCAGTTCCCTTCCGGAAACGCAGCCCCTTCTGCTTTCAGAGCATGTTGGGAGCTGGTGGGGGGCAGGCAGGTGAGAGGCAAGGAGGCCTACCTTGCATCTCCAGAGGGAAAGTGGTGTAAGACCTTTGCTGGGTGGGCCGCTCCCAGGGCTGGGAGCAAGGACTCACATCATAGGTCGGAAAGTTCTACCCGAATCCCGAGAGCAGGTTGCTGCCTTTTTGTAGCTTGGAATCGGGCTTGGGCCCAGGAAGAAGGAACCAGAACACAGAGTCCTTCGGGCCTAGCCTTGGAGGCTCTGGGACTCTTCTGATAGCCAAGCCCTGCCCAGGGGGGAGCCCCAGAACTTAGAAGGGCTGCGCTCAAATCTCAGAAGACCAACCCCCGAAAGTTGTGGGCAGTACAGCTGACCATGTGTGGGCGGCCTTGACCAGACAGGCAGACTTTGCAAGGGCACAACCAGGACCATTTGCCGAGCCCTCACATATCCACGTTCAAGGACGCGCCACTTTTAGGGGCCCAGAGGACAGCGCCTTCCTTCCTAGCTTCGCACGCTCCCTCCTGCTCCCTGACACACGCTCGACACCTCCTTCCAGACTGGGGTCTCCGGCTGGACTGTGTCACCACCTCTTCCTTCTCTTTGCCTGGGTGCCCTGCATGACTGGCCCCTGAAAGCTCACCCATGCCACCCACTCACTCACTCCTCTTTGACCCTCCACCCTTGTCCCCATTCCCTGCACCCATAATGGGGGGCCCCGCCCTGTTGGACTCCCAGTACTTCTTGTGGGTGCTTCTTTTCTAAATCTGGGGGAGGGGGACCCAGAGTCAGCATTCTCCCAACTCTCTCCTCTCCCAAGGAACTAGCTGTAGGCTCTTGGGAGAACTATGTTGACTCCGGAGGTCAGTCTGGTCATCGGTTAGTCCGGAAAAAAACACTTCCTGTGTATTTGATGTTAATTTCATTTACTTTGCTGAGACTATACACAGCAAAACACACGTCAGTTTTTGCTGAATGGATACATTCCGATAGACACTGAATGTATGTCATTCAGTGACTTTGATGACTTCCAGTTGTGCAGCCATCCTCCCCGTCCTTTTCTGGGTTGTTCCTCCCCCACTCATGTAAGCTCACAGCCCGCAAGGTCCCTGTCTCATCTTTCAAGGTGCTGTTGTTACTGTCATCCTATGTAGATCCTTCTTAACAGAGCACAGTGCTCGAGGCTGACCCTCGTTACTAATCAAGCTAAACTGTGTGGTTTTAAAGGAGACTTTAGGGAATATGTGTGGTTAAAGGTTTAAAGATGATCTCAGGGCAGTGATCTCAGGGATTCATCCAGCCTCCAGGGCTCCCGAAAGCCTGAGTGCATGAGTGTTGGAAATTCTTTTCTACATGTTCCCCTGAGATCAGAATTTTCCTCTGGAATCTCTGTATAGAATGTTCAGTAATGGTACTGGACACCATCCAGTTCTAGTCTCATGGCCACGTGGGCCATTGTTGATAGAGGCAACTAGCCGTGAGTTCCATGGCCTCCTCCTATTCCTGGCTCTCCTAACTCTGTTGCTCCAAGCTAATAGAGACCAACTGTTGTGCTTTGGATAGCTGTGTGCAAGCTTTTAAGACCCTGGGCACCACCAAGTGAACTAGGAGCTCCGACAGAAACACTAACCAACATGTTATTAAGTCAGTTATCTAGAATGTCCTTGAAACCACACTCCTTACACCACCAAACCAGGGAGCCAGATCCCATGAGGTGTTTGGTTTGTACAAAGCAGCTGCTCTTTGTTGTTGTTGTTGTAAATACATCTATCACACAACAGGAAACACTTCTCAGACACCAGTCATTTTCTGAGGTCAGAGCTGGAGGTGCAGTGGGCAGTGGACTTGACATGACCCTAGAGGAGATCATGGAGAGTCAGACGTCACTCACTTGCCCACAGACACATGTTCAGCTTAACCCGGGTGCTAGGGAGAAAGCGGATGGAGCCCTTCCCCCCAAGTTTGGTTTGGTTGAGACTGATAACGCCACATATACCACGAAGGTGTGAACCAGCATCTCAGTCACATCATGAGGCTTTCTGGGGAGAGCAGGCCTAACCACAAGGGGACTCTAAATTGGATGATGCCACGTGGTGGCAGATGGGCTTTGAAAGTGGTGGAAGGTTATTACCTTGTTTGAGAAGGGTCTCCCTCCTACTTCAGGCAGGGTTGTTCCCAGGCCTGTGCTTGGAGTGGACAGGTGTGTGGGGGCCCCTAAAGAGCTCTATCCTGTGCAGTAGAGGGGGCCCACCGAGCCTCCCATCAGCTGGAAGGGCTTCCTGTGGATGCACCCAGCAGTGGGTGCAGTGCCATCCCTATGGCTTGGGGCTGTTACCTTACACTTGGAAAGATGTTTGCTGTCTTCAGCTGAAAGGGCTCCCTCAAGAAACCAGCCCCTCGGCACTCCACTGGGAGTGTCAGACTGGCTGGAGGCACCATGGAGAGCAGTCTGACAGTACGTGGAGTTAAACACAGACTTGGTGTATGACCCAGCTCATCCCACTTCTAGACATCTACCCTAGAGAAAGGAAAGCGGAAGTCCATCCATTGTGCATAGTACGATTAGTCACTATTAGCCCGGAGGTAGGAGACAACCCCAGTGCCCACGGGCACGCGAATGCATCAGCACAGCGGTCGCACTCTGCCGTGGAACAGTATTCAGCACTAGACAGGAGCTTCCATGCAGAGGAAGCCTGAAAGCTTGCGCCAAGTAGGGTCTCATTCCCCTGATGCAGAATTCCAGAATAGGTAAATCCATAGCGACCGGATGCAGATTGGTGATGACGGGGGACCAGAGAGGGAGACATTTGCTGGTGAGTGCTAAGAGATCCAGAGTCTGTCCTCTCAGGTGAAGATGTTCTGAAATTAGGTAGAGGTGATGTTTGCACAACCTTATGAACATAGTAAATGCCACTGAGCTGTACACTCTGAAAGGGCGAATTTTAAAAAATGGGAAGTACGGTATCTTCTTTTTAAACTCATTTTACTGGGGGCTCTTAGAGCTCTTAGAACAAAAAGTTATCTTGTCTGGGTTCTTAAGGGCTTGAAGTTAATCAAGCGGCCATATGGGATCAGGTAACAGGCATCAGAAGAGCCAAAACAAACATTGTTGAGAACGAGGAGGGTCAGAGCAGAGACCCCAAACCCATCCGTAGACAATGGGACATCCCCTTACAGAAGGCTCACAAGGAAGGGATGGGTAGCTAGGGTGCAGTATAGCACCGGTGAAACACACAATCTCCCTCTGGTTCCTTGAGGCTTCCTCACCCCCCACTACCATGACCCCTCATCCTGCCTTTCACTGCGGGAAGTGTGTCTTTAAAAGAGAATTAAGTCCCCACCCCAGAATCCCGCCTGGGACACACAGTAGGCGGCCCTCGCCTGGGCGGGCCAGGACGATTTTGGAGCAGGCCAGGCTCGATCCAGACAACTTCCCTCAAAGCCGCAGTCCCCAGCTGCTAGCCGCGGGGGGAACGCAGGGACGGGTGAAAGGTGGCCTGGACGCCCCCGCTCTCCAGGGGCCGGGCGGTCATCAGTGTCCCTGCCCCCTGCTCTCCTCTAGATCCTGGTGAAGACCATGATTCGCAAACGCTCCTTCGGGAACCCGTTTGAGGGCAGCCGGCGGGAGGAGCGCCCCCTGTCGGCGCCCGGGAGCCTGCTCCTGTGAGTATCCGGGCCTCCTGGTGGGCGGGGCTGGAGCCGGCACTCCGCCCTGCTGGGCGTGGCCGTGGCGGCGGCACGGCAGGGGAGCTGGAGCCCTTGCTGGTTGTGGTCCGCCCACCCTGGTTCTACCCACCCTGTGGGCAGCCAGTCCTCGCCACAGTGCCTTTGCCTTTTAACTGGGACACCTGGCAGGAAGTCTTGGGGCTCAGAAGCACTGGTACTTGCTGGTGGGGTTCAGGCCCTGGGTGGGGTTAGTGGAACGGCTTTACTCCTCTGGGGCGGGCGTCTGGGAGTGGGGAATTCCTGTCATGACCGCGAGGTATCTGCCCACCTGCTCATGGACAGTCAGAGGTCTGGGGGTCAGGGCACTGCCAGGATGGGGGTGGGCTTCCTTTGGGGCCCAGCGTCCCTCCTCACATCCCTTTTCCCTCCCTCTGGCGGTTCCAGCAAAAAACCCACCAGGGAGTGTGAGCCCCCGCCTGAGCCCAAGGTAACGCCTGCTGCCTGTGCCGGGGCCTGGGGGGTGGGGACAGCTACAGGGCACTGGGCCTGCCCACCCACTCTGGAGGAGAGCCAGGGCCACCCAAAGGCTTCGGCCTGGTGACTGCCGTGCATGTGGACCCGGGCTGCGGTGCATGGCGCTCCCCAGGAATGCGGGGCCTTGCTGGGTCACCCTGCTGGTGGCGCAGGCCACCGAGGCTGGGTTGGCACCTACTTTGTGTGCCATACTGCCAGTGTGCATGGAGCAAGGCCCAGGTGGGGCTGAACGAACACCCGGACGAATGAAGCCTGTCTCCCCTGTGCAATCACACCTATGACTTCTTTACATGGGGGTTGGGCCTGATGCAGCTTGGAGGGTCCCCTGCGCGGGTGTCTGCACCCACGCATGCTCAGGACATATTGATGGCGGAATCCTTGTCAGACAGCCCCACCACTGCCTCGTCTCCTCTACGTATCACTGGCATGCCCTGGCCCGGTGTGTTGACACTTATTAGAAGTCCCATGTGACACCTTACCGAGCCTGAGTCTCATGACCCTTCTAGGTTGGCTTTCCCACTTTTACAGTGTCCACGAGGCCAGCATTCCCAGAACGGGAAGGAAGAGCCCCAACAGGGCTGGGATGATAGATAATAACTACTGGGCGAGCTTGCAGCCACTTGTCCCCTCAGCACTTATGGCTGGGTCATCATGCTGGGTGCTTCCTGGCGCCTGGACTCCTCCTGACCCTCAGCTTAGAAGTCCAGACTGGCTTTCACGGTGTTCACAGCTCTGCCTGAGGTCATTCACATGCTCAGTTCACTCATGGAAGCCACACCACTCGGTGACAGGTTCACCGGCTTGCATGTCCTTCTGCACCCTTGGCTTGGACCACAAGGGCAGGAAGAAACCCTGCACTCCTTAGAGTCACTCCCCTGAACCCCAGCCTTTCAAGCGTCACCCCCCAGCACACACCTTCCTGTGCCTCTCCGGGTTTGCCTCTTCTGGACCATTCGTGTGAATGGTGGCAGACACCAGTACACTTGCGTGTCACTTCTCCCACCGAGAGCACCCTGTTTTCAAGTTTCCGCTGTGTATGCCTGTCTGTTGATAGTTCCGGCTGTTGCCACCTTGTGGCTGCTGTGAACAGTGCTGCTTGCTGGGAACTTGCCCAGACAGAGGATGGCGATCTCTTGTTGTCATGAGCTGGCTTATGAGCTGTAATGTACTTATCAGCCACACCATAGGGGTCTTGCTCAGGATCGCTTGTGCTTTTGAGAGCAACCTTGTTCAGGAGTAGAGCAGGTGAAATGGCAGGGAGCAGTTAGAACCAGCCACCAAGGGTCCCAGGAGGCTGCGTGGCCCTTGTGAAGTCCCCAGATGTCTCTGAGGCTGTAGGTAGAGAGAGGCCAGGTTTGTGCCTCAAGGGTAGGGAGGGAGGGCAGCCTCAGACTCAGCGTTGTTGTTGCCTCGAGCCACTGTGTGGTCAGACACATCCGCACACACATCGGAACAAAGTGCTGCCTGGTCCTGGACATCCGTCCCTGTGATCCGTGGTGGATCGGACCTTTGTTTCTCCTCACGGCTTCCACTGGCTCACTTTCAGGAGTTGGTTGCCAGGCCTTTTCCCCTGCCCACCCTTCTGGAAACCCTGCTGGATCCAGCTCAGCATCCTAGCAACTCACAGGCCTCCACCAGCACACGGGTGGTGGCTGCGCAGGAGGTGCGCCGGCTGAGAATTGAACCTGGGTGTCCTGCATGAAGGGTGAGAATTCTGCCACCACTGCTGTACAGTCTGCCAGAACTAGGTTTCATTTAAAATCACAGTGGGGTCCCAATCAGACACAGGCAGACTGGCACTGGCCGGCAGGATCCCATCGTCTGTGTGCTCCCTTCGCCAGGGCTGGGAGTCACTGCCCATCCCTGAGCTTATGTGCAGGTGTCTGTTCAGCTGAGGTTCCAGGGCCCGAGATGGATGGACTGGGTTGGGTTGTTCCCAGATCCCCTCCCGTCTGCGGTGGGACCTGCAGGGCAGAACTGAGGTTGGCTTCCCGGTCCCCACAGACTCTGCCCCGGCTCCTCCACAGACACACAGAAAGCCCATGAGCTGGGTCTTCAACCAGGTGGGTGCTCCTCAGAGTGAACAGGTGCCCTGCTTTCTCCACCTGGTGCCCGTCAAGGGCTTGCCTTTTGGTAAAGGGTCCTCCTGTGGAGACAGTAGGTGAGCCCCCACGTGGCTTCCTTCCGAAGGGGGCTTGTTTACCCAGAGCAGCGAGGCGTTGAGAACCCTCTGAACCCTTTTTCTTTTTTAAAGAAATGCTCCTTATTTAAGGCATTTATTGTTGGTGGCAATGCACACAGCCCTATCTTTCTCGGAGGTAGTACAGCCAGAAAGCTCTTTAAAGTCAAGGATGGTGAAACTTCATGTTTGGTAAAAGAGAAGGTCGGTGAAAAGAGCAGAGGCCCTCAACAAGAAGGACTGACAGTGACTGCAGCAGGGGGCTCAGACCTGGCAGCGCTGGGAGGACGGCCCAGATCAGGCAGCGTTTCCCGCTGCGGTTCACAGGGTTGGCGAGTCAGAATCCACCCAGCAGCACCCAGCGACGCCAGTACCCACCCACAGCCACTCCTCCACCACTCCTCCTCGTGGAGTGCGATGACCTTGGCTCCGCACTTCACACTCTGTCACTGTTCTCTTGGTCTCTGCCCACATGGCTGTGTCACCATTCACTGCGACTCGCTGGCCCTTCAGGGTCTCGCCTGTCCTTTAGCCGAACCGTTGTCAGTTCACACTCGCAGAGAAAATTCCCGACCAAGAGTCCCGCGCTCGAGGCATGCGTTCTTTATGAACGGAGTCAACTCTTGGGTTGGAGGATGACTTTCCTGGAACAGTTCTGGTTCAAAGTTTGAAGGTTGTTTCTGGACAGGAGGTTTGCAGGTTTGGCTCGAATCCGTCTTGTTTCCATGCATGTATGTTTGAAATTCTGTTCCATAGTTTTCCTCCTCCAGTTCAGCCTTCAGCTGTTGGGTCCTTGGTCAGAATGATGTTCGGTCGTGGTAGCTGGGCACCGTCCATTCCTTCTGGTCTCACGGAGGCAGGGTGGACCTGCATTTGATTCCTGGGCCTCCTCCTGGAGGCCTCTCCTGTGGGGTGTTCCTGAGCGCCTCTTCCATGTCCTTGGTCTCTTATTGGACATGCTCACACCACCCAGGAGGCCTTTTATCCTGGGTGGTGTTCCAATGGACTGTGGGGTCAGAGGCTGGGGACAGTTCTGTCCACGAGCATTTGCCTGAAGCCTGACTCTGTGCTGGGCCAGACAAGTGGTCTGCTCCCTGTGCCCACGGAGCCTGCCAGACAGAAGTAGAAGCCCAATGTCGTGATTCCTTCCCCAAAGGAGGTCACAGCCTGACGCAGAGGAAGGGCCGCAACACACTGAGACCCAGAGCACAGGCCCTGAAGCATCCGCGCCACTGGGAGCTGGGCACTGGCGGTAGATGGAATCACATCTCCACGCTTGGCACGCGGTGTCGCTTCCCACTTACAGAGGTAGCAGAGGAAAGCGTATTCCCCGTGCCACCCGTCTTGAAGCATGAGAAAAAGGAGAACGCCACAGTCGGGTGACAGGTGATGGGGCAACAGGCAGCACGCATGATGCAGCAGGGGCTGGGGTGCCTTCTGTCCGTCCCGCAGTCAGTGGTCCATCCATTCGTCCTTGCCGTCCTGACTATCGGGGGGTCCTAATGGTGGTTTTCTGTTTGTGAGCAGGAAGGTCAGCAGTGCAGACAGCTCCAGGCCACCCCTCATGAGGGAGGAGGAGGAGCTCCTATGAAGGCTGGACCTTGTACTGACAGTTGGGGGGCCCTGGGCCCCGGCTCCCCGGCCTGCATGCAGCCGCCGCAGCCCCAGGAAGAAGCTATGGAGCTGGAGTAGCTGCCGGGACCGCCGCTCGCATGCCACCTCTGGTGCTGCCCTGTCCGTCCGCCTCCCTCAGCAGCATGCCCGCGGACTTGCAGCGCCACCGCCACCACCGTCTCTGGTTCTGTTTCTTCCTTTGTTGTGTGAAAGGGGACAAAACAAAAGTTGTGGGGGGAGGGATTCGATGCCCCAACATCCACCTCGGCCGCCGGCTGGCTGGACGGGCAGGCGTGAGTCGCTGCAGACCCAAATGCACACGTGTTTCTGGGCCATCGCTTTTCAAAACATTTCTATGCCAAAAACGTTTGGTTGTGAATCCAGCACTCTGCCCGGCCTGCCAGACGATCGGACCAAATGCGGAGGCTTCTGGATACGTGTCGGGAATGGCAGAGCCCCGGGCTGCAGAGCGAGGTGCTGTACCTGTGAAGAGCGGGTGTGATTTCTGCCTCACGCACACTCCACGAACTGTCGGGAAGCCAGGACCCTGGGCGTCAAGATAAGAGCAGGGCTGGCCCTCAGGAGCTCTGGGCTTTGCTGCCCCTTATTTATAAGAAGGACTTTTTACATTTTTCTTTTTTTTTTCTAATAGGCCCAGTTGTTGTCAGGGAAACTGAAAGGGCTCACAGTTCAGTCTGCTCGCTTCAGAAGGGGGTCGTTCTTGCCAGCCCTCGCAAGGTGTTGGGCAGTGGTGGTGGGAGGAGCGCCGCCCAAGGACCTGGCCGGGCTCCTCCTCCAAACGGGAGTCTGAAGAGGTCGACCGAGCTGTAGTCACAACTCTTTGTGAAATGACCACAACTTCAGGGCGAAAAAAAATCCTCCGCTTCCATGTACATTACATGGGGTAAGATTAAGCAACGACACCCACGTTATTCAGAGCTTCCGGGGTGGGTTTCACTGCTTCCAGCTTGGGACGGGGTGTAGAGCCAAGGGAACCGCCCCAACACCCCCCACCCCGCCACCTGTGTATTAGCAGCGTCACATGTTCAGAACCTGTGAGTATTTCAAGAGAACACTGAGGCTTTGACCTTGACCCAGCCACAGCACCAGTGGCTTGTCGTCCATGGAACAAGGTGCCCAGTGGTGGAGAGCCAGGGCGGAAATCCCTTCCTCTCAACCAAGAAGCACACGATCGTCCTCACAGTCCCTGGTTTTTCGTGAGACTGCACCGAGTGACAGGAAGTCCAGAAGATAGCCAAGAGACCAAGAAAGAAAGATCCTCCTTGTTTTGACTCTCAGCCAGTCCTGAGAACTGTGGTTGGAGTCCCAGCGTCGGTCTTCCAGGGACCCGTGTGGGCAGGTGTCAGCTTCCTCGTGGGGAGAGGGGACTGAGAGGACTTCGCCGGGAGGGTGACCCTGTGCTTCCTGGGAATTGGGGTCAAGGTCTCCAGAGACACATGCTCCATAGTCTCACTCCGATCACTGCTGGTCCAAGGCCTTCTCCCGACGGCTGCCGTCCACACAACCCCAGGCGCCCTCGGCTTCCATAGATTGGTCTCCAACTCCTGACTGTAGTTTAGCAAGACCTTTCTTGGCCACTTTACAAGCAGCACAGAACTCGAGAATGCTGGGTTAGAAGCACAAAGGACACAGGTCCGTCCGTCTGTCCGTCCGTCCGTGCCGTCGCAGTGTCCTGCCTGCCTGCCTGCTATTCTGACACTAAGCACTTCCTTTTGTCCTCCCCCATCCCTCCTCACTGCATGGGGGAAATGGTGGGCTACTTTGCAGTAAGCACCTTGCCATGGTCAAAGTGGATGCTTTTCCGTGCCCAGAGCAGGCCCGGCCCTGGAGTGTGGGATTGCTCCTGTGTTTACACCACGGGCTAGGACCAGGCCCCACCCCACCGCCAGACTTCCCTGCTCAGGCTGCACAGTTGGCCGATGGCTTTTCTACAAACACCAAAGAAAGCTGCTGCGGGAAGAAACCCCATGGGAAGTTCAGTAACCAACCCCCCTTCCCCCCGAAGGCTAGAACCTGGCTAAGGCAGACACCTGTCTGAGGAAGGAAACTTCGAAGATCTGCGAACGGCCCAGAGCTCGCTTCAGCTCCTAGAGATTGGGCTGTGTGTGTAGAGCGGCGTGCCTCACCGGAGCACAGGCTGCCAGAGCTTTGAAGGCCAGCTCTCTTGGAAAGAAGAGCTCTTTGCGGGCAAGACACCCCCAGTTTCTTTGGCTGGCTTCTCCGTGGGACCAAGCTGGGGTAGCAGCCTGTGGCTGACACAAGGCCCCTGCCCCGTGTCCTGACCCTTCAGAGGCCTGCCCAGAGCACTTCTGTGGAGCAATCCAAGCTCTGAAGGGCACCCCCTGCTGCTCTGGCCTTTCCCAGGAACAAGGGCTTTGGTGCCCCCAGCCTTCCAGGAACAAGGAGGAGAATCTATGTTCAGGGTGGGCATCCCTGTTGCCCTCACCCACCCGTTCGCAGGTGAGCTTGCAGAGTGGAAGGGCTATGGTATGGCCCCCACTTGCTTCCAAGGTGCTAGGGAAGGTCTTCAGGTCTCGGTCCCCACTTCTCCCCGGCCGAGTAGGGACTGGACTTTGTACCCTGTGACCCAGTGAGTGTCCATGCTCATGTTTAATTCCCGGTCCTGTCCACTATGCATTTTCCCTTTATCAGGTGTACAGAGTTAAATACTGTGTATTTATCACTTACAAGTTACATGGACTTCAGAGAAAATAGGCCTTTGGTGTTTCTGTTTTTCCACGATGTTTAAGCTTCTCTGTAAACTTGAAATAAACAGACAGCAACATGGTGCACATCCTGGGCCTCGGGGGCGTCTTCTGTGGGTTTATTGTGGTTTATGCACATCCGTCTGCTCTCCTCCTAGGTTGGCAGCGAGCTGCCAGCCCCACAGCCAGGATGAATCCCTAGTGTGTGTGTGGAGAGATCAGGGGGCCCCAGGCCCCACCCCAGGTCCTGTCTGAGCTGGAACCTGCCTGTTACCAAGCTTCCCAGGTGAGCTGCCTACATGGCAACATTTATTGAGGAGAGAGGCAATTACTAGGTTCTGGTGGAAGCCAAACGGGTTAGTAGCCCCTTGGGGCAATCTTAAATAACACTGGGACACTGGACGACAAGTGTACCCCATGAGGTTGGCAGAGCAGTTTTTGTCAGTGAGGCCGAGGAAACAGGTCAGTTGTCCGGGGGCGCCCAACTTGCTAATAAGCAAGAATGAGCACTGAATTTGTTAGACAAGCCTCCCCCACAGCCCCCTGCCCCTTCACCAACCTCCCCGAGGAGGGCCTGGCTGTAGCTGATTTTCAGGGGCTGCAGACTGAAATGCTGTCTGAGGGCATCTTTGTGCCTGTGGAAGTAGCAGCACGTTGTGTCACCCAGCCATGAGCTCTGCTGCCGAAGGCCTGGGGTGGGGGGAATGGGACTGGCCAGAGCAAACCACTGGCCTGTCCCAGTCCAGAGGTCTCCCTGGAGGGCGTGAGGGAAACTCAGACCTGTGTAGAGTGTCTCATTTCGCAGAGTTTGAGGGGTTAGAGACCCCTCGGAAGCTCATCCACGGACTCCAGGTTGAAGGTAGTGTACTGCTGGGGTGTGTCAGAGCAGAATGCGCCCCCCAGGGTGTCGAGTGGCTGGTTTTTCAGGAGTAGGTCACCAGGCCTTTCTTCCAAGGCACACCTCTGAAAGAGGTCATCCCTGTGCCAGAAGACAAGTCTACCAGTGCAGCTCTGTAGCCTGGAACCACGGCCAGGGCTCCCAGCTCCATTTCCACCCCAAGTGTCCAAGCGGCAGCTTCCAAAGTGGGGGTAAGACCAAAAATAATAATAAAAACCCAAATGGGGGTAAGGCCTGGAACTGTGTCCGAGGTGTCTGATGGACTCTTTCTCCTTAGCCAATGAGACAGGCTCCCAGCAGAAGGGCAGGGCTTCAAACCTGTGCTGCTCTCTGTACCTGGGCTTGTATTCAGGGCCTGGCCGGGCAGTGGAGGGGCAGGCAGCCGGCCTCCTTCAGACGCAGAATAAAGTGGGTGTGAAGCGGAGCTAGAAATAGCTGTCGTGAACATCGCAGCCACGGAGGCCCCGTGGCAGGGGAGGGGTGGTGGCTGCTGCTGCTGCAGCTGCAGGACTTCCAGGGCTTGCAGAAGTAAGTGGGAGGGAGGAGACAAGCCCCTCTGGCTAAGTCATCAGAGACCAGATCCTGGAGGACATCCTTCTGGGTAGAGTGGGAAGGAGGGAAGATGAGGAAGACCACCAAGGTGGATCGGCACAGTGGCTGCAACAGCGGACTCCACCATCAGGACAGTTGGGAGGCTGGCGCGGTCCCGGGCCCTGCTTTGTTCTGTTGTTGACAGGGTCGCCGTGCACTGGACCTGACTCCAACAGCACCTGCCAACATGTTACCCCAAGTCCTGCCGCCTGCAGTGCAGTAAAACCTGCAGAAGCTGTCAGAGAAGGAACACGCTAAGGTTTCCCACAGAAAAAAGTGATGGGAACGTGCTCGGTGTGCACCTTGTCAGAGGTGGAAAATGTGCCAGACCCGGACAACGCTGAGCCGTGGGGTCCCTGCTGCCCATGGTTTGCCTGATGTCTGCTGCAGTTTTATTAAAAAATGTCAACGGGGGGTGGGTGGGGTGGGGGGCTGGGAGGGGTGCCACTAGAACCCAAACCAAACCCACTGCCATTGAATGAATTTTGACCAATAGCAACCCTATAGGTGGTAGAACTTTCCAATGAATCTTTATGGGAGAGGGCATCCTCTTCCTTCTCCCAAGGAGTTGCTGGTGGGTTTGAACTGCTGACCTTGTGGTTAACAGCCTAATAATTAACCTACTATGCTACCTGGGGTCCCTAAATACTCACGAGAGCAGTGGTTCTCAACCTTCCTAATGCCGTGACCCTTGAATACAGTCCCTTATGTGGTGGTGACCCCCCAACCATAAAATTATTTTCGTTCCTACTTCATCACTGTCACTTTGCTACTGTGATGAATTGGGTGAGTCCTGTGAAAGGATCACTGGACCCCCAAAGGGGTCGCGGCCCATAGGTTGGGAACCCCGGCACTATAGAAAAACAAAATGTGAATTCTCTAGGAATACCATCTAATATGGATCAAACTTGGGCCTTCGAGAGTAAGGCGGGGGAAGAACTCCCGACGTGGATGGTTTCTGGCACCTTTCCTGCACGCGGTGAGTCAGGACGGATGGGTTAAAGAGTAGGAAGAAATGTTCCAGCACACACAAAGGAAACAGATGGGGCTCATGAAATGGCTTGTTTTAATGTTCTCAGATCCACACCGATTCTCGGGAGAGAAATCCTGAATTCAGCTCCTGACTGTGCGGCCAAGTCCAGTGCCTGCGCCGGACCTCAGACCAGCTGGCTCAGACCCCGCGGCCACCAGGCAGGGCCCTTCGCTCCTTTAGAAATCGCCTGTGCAGAGCTGCTGTGCCGCGGAGCTCTGGAGCTGTCTCTGGGGGGCCGGAGATAGGAGCATCAGAGGTGAGCCAGCACAGGAGGCCAGGGGCAGGCTCCAGCCCGTGAGCACAGGAGCACACCACCAAGGCGCAGAGCTCGCCCCAGCGACCCCATCCCCGGCCACAGGACAACAGGGGCAACCTGGCCCCAAACTAGACCTGTGGCCCTCTCTCTGGATCCCACCCCTCACACTCAGGAATGCTGGGAAGCCTGCGGTCCGTCCAGGGTGGAGGCAGAGTCCTGTGCGCTCTCGGGGGGGAATGTGGAGCCTCCTCTTCCTTGTCTTGGTGTCTGGTGGGGGCCACAGAGAGCCCAGGTGTGTGGGGGGGCATCACTGGTGTGTGTCATCGCTGAGGCCCTGCAGAGAAAGGAGAGCACATAGGAGCACACCCCTAAGCCAGAACGCCTCAGTGTCCTCACAGATGCCCACGTCCTCACGACAGGTGGGCCTGGTGTGGGGTCCCAATGCTCGGTGCCCATGAGGGAGTGAGTCGTGTTGCCAAAAGGGTGATGCTGGAGTCTGAAGCCCCAGGACCTGTGAGGGTGACCTTGTTTGGAACGAGGGCTCCACAGCTGGTATCAGTAAAGTCAACAGGAAGTCGCACCCGATCCAAGGGGCATTCTGTGACAGAGGTGAGACACAGAGGGATGCTGGCCAAGTGGGGATGCACCCACAAGCCATGGAACCCTGGGACCACCAGAAAGAGGGGAGGCAAGAAGGATTCCCCCCTAGAACCTTCAGGGAGAGCCTGGCCTGCCGATGACACTGCCATCTCAGACTTGTGGCTTCCAGGACTGAGGCCCCACAGCTGCCGCTGAGAGGCACGCACTGAGTGGCACAGCAGCCGAGGGCTCCTCTTGGCATGCCAGATGTCTGCAGACACCGGTGCTGTCCTAGTACCCATGACCCACGTGAGCCTGAGATGATTAATTGAACACAGGACTAGATTAGAAACAGCGAGCCCACTGAAGGGTAGGAGGGAAATCCTTGTGCTGAGAGCAGGTGGCTTGGGGCGTGTAGGGACAGGGACAGCGGCACACAAAATGGCGGCCACATTTGTAGAAGAGCCTCACCCCGGCCAGATGCTGGGCTCAGGGTCAGGTCTCCTCACAGTGCAGGAGAGGTCTGCTGGGGAGGCCAGGAGGTGGCCTACCTGCTCATAATCTTCCACGTATTTGTATTTCTTCTCCCGGTAGTAGTATTTCTTCTTCATGCAGTAGAGGACAATGACGTCACACAGCACTGTCGCCTGGGGTGGCCCAGAGTGAGAGAGAAGGAGCCAGAGAGCTTTAGGGGAGAGGGCCAGGCATGCGGTGCAGGTGGGCATGGTCTTGGGAAGGGGAAGGCGGAGGGGGTGAGGAGGGTCCCAGGAAACAAGTCTAGAACGGGGGCAGCCTCACTGCTGAGGAGGCGGACCGTCAAGGTGTCAATTACTCACCACCCCTAACAGGGCCAAGCCCGAGCCCACGTTAATCATGGTGGGGATGATGTCAAACTTCCCAGCCTGCAGGGACAGGAGAGAGGAAAGGTGTTGGGTGGCGGTAGTGGCAAGGGCGAGGGTCTGTGCCCCTGGCTCCAGGCGCCAACAGAGAGAGGTTTGGGCAAGTCTACCTTCCCGAACACGATGATGTCGAAGCGGATGCCATAGGCCTTGATGAGGGTGCGGTGCTCCCCGCCAGTCGGGTCATTGTAGTACTTGGCAAACCTGGGGAGGGGATGGGGCTAGAGATACACCTTGTGGGCAGGGGGACCAGGGCCTCCAGCACCCCCACCGCTGCTGCCACTGCTGCTATAACACCTGGCTAAAGTTACAGGCACCCTTGGACCTGCCCTGTTAATGTGGATGGCAGAGGGCATAAGACAGCTTCAACGGTTTCCACCAGCACTTTCTGATCGGAGTGTCCTTCCTGAGGTGACCCAGCCACCTGTCCTTCTCAGAGACCCTGGCTGCTAGTGGCGAAAAGGGCCAGCCAGCAAGCCGCCAAGACCACATCAGCAGGGACTGGGGACAACTACAAAACTCAGTCTCAGGACAGGATCCATCAAGAGAGGAATGGATACGCAAAATGAGGTCTACCCAGACACCGGGCTATTTCCCAGCAGGACCCAGGACTAAGTTCTAAGGGGCGCCACATCAGGACGAGCCTCAGAGGTGACGCCGGGTGAAAGAAGGGGGTCCCCAGGGACAAGTGTGGTCTGTGAATGCTCTCGGGCAACGTCCCAAACCCAAACCATTTCGGTCCAGTTGATTCCAACTTAACAGCAACCCTATAAGACGGAGTAGAAGTACATCCCAGGGTTTCCTAAATCTCAAGGGAGCAGACAGCCTCCTTTCTCCTGAGAACAAAAGCTGGTGGGTTTGAACTGCCAACCTTCTGGTTAGCAGCTCAGCACTTTAACCCACTGTGCCACCAGGGCTCCTATGAACTGTCCAGAAGAGGCCCATCTATGGACCGAAAGGAGATTGGTTGCTTAGGTCTGAGAGGGGCGGAGGCTGGGAAGGTTATCACTGCAGTAGAATGAGAAGGTGGTGGCAGGCTGAACCACCACTGAGTGATTTCGGTGGGGGAAGTGCATGCTGTGTGGTTCCACCTCTGTAACTCCAGCTCACTGCTGTCAGTCAGTGCTGCCTCACAGCGGCCCTGTGGGCCAGAACCACCGCCTCCAACTCCCAACTCCTGGTGCAAGTCTCTACCGAAGCCGGGGCCTCAGCTTTTTCCTGAGGAGCAACTGCTAGCTTCCCAATGCCGACCTTGCAGTTTGTCGCTCAACGCTTTAACTGCCATGCGATAAAGTTATGCATACACACACACACACACACAGGGAGGAGAGGGCCACCGAAACAGGAAGCCATCATGCACACAGCCACCCTACGCCGTGACCCATAAGGCCTCAGTCTCCAAATCACTGTCAGAGGTTGAGGGGGAGTGTCCCTGCTCAAAGGTCCTACTGCTCTGTCCAACTCTAGCTTGAAGTTCCCCACAATGGTTTCTGGGTGACAGTCAAGATGCGTCAACCTGAGCCTGACTCCCCAACCAGCAGACTACTCCCTCCTACATTAGACATTTCCTTAGCATCCTCACGTCGACTCCATGCGTCGCCACTAGAGGGAGACAAGTGCAGCACAAAAGCCCCGCTGACCTGCAGGGGGGAGGAGAGGCTGTTTCACCAGTGGGAATACAAACGTGAAAATACAAGGAAGAACGAACTTGCTGCAGATTCTGTTACAGCCTCAGGGGAGCGACAAATTGGACCTGGCCCCCGGCACCCTTATCAGATTATAAATCCCAGAGAAGGCCTTTTTTTCTAAGGCTAAAACCCATAGAGCGCCAATTCCTGGGTCAGGCCCCTGGGACCTTTGGACTGGAGGGCCACAAGTCAGGCTGGCCCAAGAAAGACAAAGCCAGCTGGCGGCTGGTGAAAAGGCTTAACAGAACCACTGTACGACTCAGCAGTTCCACGCCCAGGTAGTTACCCAAGGCTTGAAGGCAAGGCTCACACGGGTTACCCACCCACGGGGGTCGGCCCGGAAAACACCATGTCGAGAGAAGTCGGCCCCACACAGAAGGTCAGATAATGGCACGGTTCCACTTAGCATGCAATATTGGGAAAAAGGCAAATCCACAGGAAGATCTTTGCGGTTGGCAAGGGCTGGAGAAGGGGACCGTTGTTACCGTGGGGTCCCTCCTGACTCTGGGGGACCCCACGTGCACAGCGTGGACGGCTCCGTCGGGTTTCAAGGCTGTGACCTTTCCGAAGCAGATCTCCAGGCCTCTCTCCCAAGGGGCCTGCGGGTGGGCTCACATACCCAGGCCTTGGGCTCGAGCCGCGTGTCTCCCGAGAAGTGTGTCCCAAGGACAGTGGTGGGTGTGCAACATGGTGACTGGGCTTTAAAAAATGGCTAACAGTGGCAAACTTTTATGTCTAGAGCAGTGGTTCTTAACCTGTGGGTCGAGACCCCTTTGGGGGTAGGGGTAGGTCAAATGACCCTTTCACAAGGGTTGCCCGATTAATAACAGTAGCAAAATTACAGTGATGAAGTAGCAGCGAAAATAATTTTATGGTTGGGAGGGTCACCACAACATGAGGACCTGTATTAAAGGAGTGAGGCATTAGGAAGATTGAGAACCACTGGTCTAGAGGGTGCTTCAAAAAACTTGTGGGAAATTTCCATGATCCTTTCATTCCATTTTCCCACCAACTTTTTGAGGTCCTTCAGCACTCTGTCTGGCTCTGCCAATGACCTTGACCTGCTTCCTCAGGAGAGCAGAGGGGAGGATGTGACAGGTGCCGGCCCCAGTCAGACATCCTTCCCCATTTGGGGTGCCCTGCCCTTGATGGTGCTGCTAGGAGCTGGCCCAGGCGATGGGCTGGGTGCCAGCATGGGCAGAAACCCAGTTACAACCGGCATAGCGAGCTCCCACCTGAAGTTGTAGCCGGGGGACACGTTGTGGTCGGCGTCGCGGTTGTCCAGGCGGCGGAAGGAGTACCTGGGCAGGCAGAGGGTGGCGGCCCAGTCCAGGTTGCAGTCCCATCTGATCTGGATGCCCATGATGCCACCCTGCGGGCGTGGGGCAGACACAGGGCACATTCTCAGGGCACAGCCGGGCCAGAAGCCCGGGCTGCCGACCTTCAAGGCCCACCCTGACCTCCACCGCCATATCCTGGAAGCTGTGTCCCGCGCTCGTCACAATTCTGCCCAGGCGGAAGATGGGGCAGAAGGGATCTGTTTCTGCATGGTAAATGCATGACTTCAGGTAGGAGGTGTTGATGCTGGGAAGGATGTTCCGCCTAAAGCCGGGAGGAAACAGAGGGAGAGTGAGAAACATCTCCGAGGGGAGGGACCCCCAGGGCCCTGCATACCAGCCACCACTTACTTGCTGAAGTTAAATTTGGGGTACCAGATGTTGTTCTTGACCAGAAGGGTGAAGTTCTCTGCAGCCTTTAAGAAGGCAGGGCTGGAAAAAAGCGACAAGCTATTTTTAATAAAGGCATACAGGACGAGTCTGCGAGAGGCTTCACAAGGCCACGGCTACGGCATGGAAAGAGGTTGGCGCTTGCCCATAGACATTTTGAAGACCCCTCCTGTGTTTGTGTGTGTGCCTGCATACAGAGGTAAGGGTATGTACACACACCATTGTTCCCGGCTGGATTCCAACTTCGAGTGCCCTGCTCAGAGGGCAGAGAATGGCCCCCGAAAGTTTCCGAAGCTGAAAATCCTTATGGAAGTGGATGGCCTTATCTTCCTCCCAAGAGACGGAGGCCCTCAAATCCTGTGGAGCTTTCAGATCCTGGACCCTTCTGTGAGCAAGCTGCTGGATGAGCAGTCTCTGTGTCAGGAGGACCACGTGTGATGTGTGCACGCATCGTGTATGTACAGAGCTGTGTGAGAGGAGCCCTGCAGGGCACGGACTAAGTGCTGAACTGCTCATCGCAAGGTTGGTGGTTCATCCCAGCAGTTGTTATGCAGGAGAAAGATGAGGCTGTCTGTTCCCATGAAGATCTGCCACTTTGCCAGCCATTGGAGCAGCTCCTCTAAAGTCGCCGTGAGTCAGAATCCACTCCAAGGCAATAGGAGGCAGATACGGGAGGGGACTTCAAAAGTTCAAGGAAGGGAACAGTCAATGGGGGGTGGGCACCCTGGTGTTCTTCTGAGGCCTTTCTGGGTTAGCCAAGCCAATAAACTGCCCCGGTCATGTGTGTGTATGCACTTGTGTGTGTGTGTGTGTGGGGGGTGTCGGGGGAGCATATATACACATTTCTCTAGGCATATATGCATGTATTATGTGTATGGGTGCACGTGCTCACAGGTGTCTTCACATTTGTGTGTGCATGTGTGTGTTCTTATGCATGTGAGTATGTGTATGCATATGCATTTCTGTATGTTCATAAGTATGAGTGTATGTGTGTGTGTGTGTGTTTATGACCTGGGGACTCCCTCCCGCCCCCACGAAGAAGTCGTCAGTTCTTTGTGGTTGACAGAGTCAGGGACCCACAGCCTCATCCTGCACCACAAGCCCAGGCTGCCTGGCTGCTGACTGAGAACCCCACTCCACAGGAGCCCTTCTCTACCCTGACCCCAGGGCCCAGGCTCAACTCCCACTGCTGCGGGGCAGGGCCTGTCCCCACCACACTCACTTGGGCACATCGGTGTCGTCCTCCACGGGGCACCAGGCTGCAACCTCACATGTCTTTACAGTCCCGTTGAACGGCACACATCTTCCTGTCGAAACGCCTACTGGGGCAGGGGACACAGACCCATGATCTGTCCTGTGCTCGGACTTTCTGGGGATGAGCCCCACCCCTGCGATGGTTCTCTGGGTGTGGCATGCCCCCTGTGGGATGGAGACAGTGCCCAGGCTTGGACTGGGAGTTCTGGGCACATCACTGCCAAGGTCAGGGCTCAGGAGAAGTGGAGCTACTGGACAGAGAGAACAAGGCTCTCATAACAGGTGGGCACAGAGGACCCTGGGCCCCAATCTGGACACTAGGCTCCCTCAGCACCCCAAAGGCCCTAAAGAGTTTCTCCCCACGATCTCGCCAGGGCCCCCAGGCTGAGCTCCTGTGAGGCCCAAGCCCCTACCGTTGCTGTGAGTGCCCGCGGAGCCTGCAGTGCAGTTGGCGTCAGACTGACACACAGTGGTCTTATCTGGAATCTGACAAAGAGGAACCATGCAAGCAAGTGCCAGGCGCCTGGCCCCACCTGTGGCTGGACGGGCACAGAAACGGAGGGGCTGAGGCTTGACCCTGAAGAACCACCCACCTCAGGACAGACGCCCTGGCTCTGGTTCACAGTGACGATCATGTTGGTCATGATAAAGAGTGAGTTCTCCTCCTGTGGAATGGGGCGAGAGGGTGGGGGTCAGATGCTTACACACCAGGATGTTTTGTGTTGCCACAGGCCGCACAGAAAACACCACAGGCAATGAAACTTCCCTCAGAATCAACAACTTTCCACGGCTACGTCTACACACATGCCCGGAGCAGCGGCGCGACTCAACAGCCCTAAGACAGAACCTCCAAGGGGTCCCTCAACGGCTGACCGGCTAAACGAAGATGTTCTCTCCATGCCCTGGGCTAGTAGTATTCAGTCTCAGAAGGAAGGGCGTTCTGCCAGGTGCGCCCACGTGGGATGGGCCCTGAAGGCATCCCGCGGAGTGAAGGCAGCCAGCCACTGTGGCATGTGTAACTGCACTCCCATGGGATGTCCAGGGTGGGCCCGTCCACAGGCACAGTAGGCAGAGTGATGGCTGCTTTGAGTTGCGGGCACAGTGGGTGGGTGAAGCATTGGGCTGCTAACCCAAAAGTTAGTGGTTTGAACCCACCAGCTGTTCTGCAGGAGGACAGCGAGGCAGCCTGATTCTGGAAAGATTGACCGCCTCAGGACCCTCAGGGAATGGTTCTACTCTGTCCTAGAGAAAGTCAAAATGGGCTGGAATTGACTTGATGGCGGTGGGTTTCAGGTTGGGGGAAAGGGAGAGAGGGGAGTGGCCGTGAAGCGGTAAGAGGCTTCCTTCTGGAGGGATGATCGGGCTTTGGAACGAGGCAGAGGTCTGGGCTGCACAGGGCCCTGGACGTCCTAAATGCCACTGAACTGTTTCATTTAAGGTAGTTCATGTCATGTCATGTGAATTTCACCTCAATTAAAAAAAACAAAAGTGAGTCTGTAACCTGACCTGATCCTTCCAGAAAGCCTTGACTTCCAGAGAGAAGAGCTGAAACCGTCGCCAACGGATTGCCTCAGAGGCAGAAACACACAAGGCTTCAGTGGCCTCCGGTTTGGCTGACTTTCTTTGATAACAGGCATTACAAAAGACTCAGCCAGGCCAGAGAGCGTCACCATCTGGGAAGGCTAGGTTTTCTCCCAGCCCCAGCGGGTCTGGAGCTACTGCTGGCACCCTGCAGCCGGTGAGCTGCTACTCTCACGATCAGCAGTTTGAAACCACCAGCCGCTCCTTGGGAGACAGGGTTTTCTACTCCCATAAAGAGGTCACGCTCTGCCATAGAGTCAATGCGACTCATAGTTTCCGATACTGTAACTGTTTATGGGAGTGGAAAGTGAGTTTGTTGTTTGGTTCGATCAGGCTGAGACTGAAGAAGTGCAGGTAAAAATGACCTCCCAGTGTGATTGTTCAAGGACCCATTTGGGCTCCCAGGGCAGGGACAGGTAGAACCTGTTCTCTTCAGGACAGGTAGAACTCCCTCTGAATGTTTCTGAGGCTGTACCTCTTTCCAGGAGCAGAAAGTCTCATCTTTCTCCCGAGAGGCGGCTGACGGGTTCAAACTGCTTACCTTGTCATTAGCAGTCCAGTGCATAACCCGCTACGCCACCAAGGCCCCTGCTAATAAAAGCGGGACCCTCATTTTAAAGGCAAGCCTCCAAAGCTTCCTCACAGCTGTAACGAGAGCCACGGTCGTCAGCCTGCACCGCCAGGTCTGACAAGATGGCAAGAGCCCCAGGGATGACTGGCTTCTTTCGCAGAAAGGCCTAGGACAAACCACACTGGAAATGGCCCCGAGGCCCCAGTTCCCAGGTGTTCACTAGTGCATGCCGTCCCCGGGTGCTTCCAGAGGTTGCTGCTCTGGCTCCCCTGGGTCAGGTCTCCCAGGGAGGTGAGTGCAGTCTCCCCTGTTTCCTATCTCTGGAATGTTCAGGGGTTCTGTCAGGCAGGAGGACATCCCAGGGCCGGGTGGGGGTGGGGGGTGCCTCTGGAGCTCGCCTGGACTGGCTCCAAGCTAGGAGGCAGGGGTACAGGTATGCTCTGCACCCAGGCCGGCTGGAGCTGGGGCCGCTCGGACCCTCCCTTAGTGCAAGTAGACATCCCCGGGCTATCAAGTTGGTCTTGACCCACGGCATGACCCCACGCACACATCAGGGTAAAACTGTGCCCCAGGGCTGTCTTTCTCCAGTCACAGATCTCCAGGCCTTGCTATGGCGGAACCTTCAGAGGAGCTCAAACCTCCGACTACTGGATTAGCAGCCGAACTGATGGCATAACCCAGAGACTCCCAGGGCCAGCCAGGACACGGCCAGGCCTTCACAAGAAACAATGGTCTCTGGTGAGAGAAGGCCACGTCAGCAGGGCAACCGGATAGCCCCTGGTCCACGTGACCTCTGGGCCCTGTCAGCTCTCTCTGCCCCTGGGCTCCCTTCAGATGTTTGTCTTGAAAAATGGGGTGGAGATGGGGGTGGGGCGGTGAAGAAAGAAGATTCCAAAGGACTTGCTCTCATCTGCAGAGTTCTGAGGCTCAGTCCCTCATCTGGTCACCCGTCAGCCATCTGGAGGGTAAGTCGGAGCTCGCCACGTGTGTACTGAGGCGTGGCACTGCTACCATGGCCAAAGAGCATCAATATTGACCTTGGAACCTGGAGGCTTCCCAGCCCTACGGTGGGGAGGCCGTCTCTCCCTAGTGCTCGCTTCCCCTTTGTTCCTGGGGACTCCTGCGTGGGAAAGCTGGCTGCCTGCTCAGCTGGGCTTCTGGGCTCTAGCTGCTGCTGCTGTTCTTCACACTGGCTTTACAACAATGCAAAATGACAACTACCAACCACCTGTGGCTGTGGAATGGATACCGTGACTCCTGGTGAGCCTGGGTGGCCCAGCAGAGCTGCCCCCTGGGGGTTCTAAGGGTGTCACCTTTACAGGAGCCAACAGCCCCATCTCGCTTCCTCGGAGAGGCCGGTGGGTTCCAGCTGCCCACCTTTCTGTTGGCAGCCCAGCACTGACCCAACAGGGCCCCCTCCTTCATTGACCACCCGTTGCTATGGAGCTGATCCCCACTCCCGATGACCCTGTAAGACCAGGCGGGGCCAGGGCTGTCATCTTTAACCCCCACCCCACCCCCACCACTAAATTGTTATTTTGTTGCTGCCGCTGAGACTACATACAGCAAAACATCCGACAGTTTGCACAGACACCATCTGGGGACGTGGGGCACACTGCTGGACTTGTGCAACCATTCACCCTCCTTGTCTGAGTCGCCCCTCCCTCAGGAGCAGCCTCATTGCCCCCTAAGGGCCCTGTCTCGTCTTGAGAGGCTCTGCACAAAGGCAGTTCTCCAAAGAGCACAGGGCACCAGGCCGATCTTTTTAGGTAGGTAAAGCGTGTCTCTCATTTGGTTTTTAGAAGAGGGGATCTTTGGGGCTTGGGGTTTAAATAGGATCTCAGGGCAGTAGTTCAGGGGGTCCGCTCCAAGCAGTCGTTACAGGAGCATATCACCAGACTTTGCCAAGGGACTGAAGGGTTTGAAGTGCTGACTTGTCCTTTAGCAGCGGAGGCCTGACCCAGTGTGCACTACCAGGGCTCTTTTCATCAAATCCAAACACATGCAAACCATGCAAAGGAGCCAAGCCTCCCACAGGGTCTTTCCCAGAGCTCAGTGCCTTTGGCTTTTATCTCTCCAGGCTGGAGGCACACGGGGGGGTGGGGTGTCCATCTGGAAAGGTCCCAGTTTTAATCCCAACACGCTTCAGAGCTATTACCAGGGAGACCCTTTCCTGGACTAAAGCGATGAGTCCAGGCAAGGGTGAAATGGGAGACGTGTGGCCAAAGGCAGTCGGGAGTCCGGACACCAAGTCAGTCCAGAGACAGGGGTTACCGAACAGCTTCCGTCCCACAGACATCCCAAAGGGGCCCTTACCTGAGCTGGAATCACGTAATCGGCCACATCCCAGATCCGGAATCCAAGTTTGGAGGTGTTGGTCATAGCCACGCCCTTGGCCTTGGTAGTAACCGAGCTGACCACAGAGTCCATTTCCTGGTAGCCCTTCTCCCACACAAACACCCACCTGAAAAAGAAGAGAGGCCTCTGCAGTCACAGGAGGGGGTGGTGGACATGACCTGATGCCGACAGCTCTGTTAGACAGAGGCTGGCAGTGCCATGTTGGCCAGCCATGTGACTGTGCAAAAGCCACTCCACTTCTGCAAAATGGACATAAACACAGACTTTTAAAAAACCCAACCTGTTCCCGGTGAGTCGCTTCGGACTCAGTGATCCTCTAGGAGGGAGGAGAGGGGTTTCCCCACGGGGAAACTGCCCCATGGGGTTTCCAACCTTGGAAGCAGGTCACTAGGACTGTTGTCCTTCAGAGTGGCTGATGGGTTTGAACCACTGACCCTTGGGTTAGCAGCCCCGTGCTTAACCACTGCACCACTCGGGCTCCTTACTCCATGAGGTAGGAATGATTTCCACCTCAATTTTCCTGAGGGCCAGAGAAGTGACTTGCCCAGGGTCACGCTAGAGCGTGTCAAAGCCAGGATTTGAACTCGGGCCTCGGTAGCTTGTTCTCTTCCCCACTGTGCTACAGTAGCAAGAAAAGCAAACCCTCCCCTACAAGCAACATTTTACAGCAACATCTTACTCTTCCTCCAAGAATTCAGGCCACATATATGCTTGTCACTTCAAAAATAAGGACCCAATTACCAGGTTGAAGAATTAAAAATATAAAAACATTCATTCACTGCCACAGAGTCGATGCTGACTCCTGGCGACTCTAGAAAGGGAGGGTAGAACTCCCTCTGTGAGTGTCTGAGACTATAACTCTTTGACAATAGAAGGCCCCGTCTCCGAACTGCTGACCTTGTGGGCAGCAGCCTAATATGTAACCACCATACCACCAGGGCTTGGGATATAATTAGGGTACCCGAGCCCAGACTGGAGCCAGATGATCTGGGCTCATAGTTCAGTTCCACCACTCAGTAGGCTAATCTAAAAGTTGACAGTTCGAAACCCCCCAACACACCCCAGCTCCTCTGAGAGGCTTCTGTAAAGATTACAGCCTTAGAAGCCTTATGGTAGAGTTCTACTCTGCCCTACAGGGTCACTATGAATTAAAATCAACTTGATGTTATGCATTGGGCTGCTAAACATAAGGTTAGCAGTTCAAACCCACCAGCCACTCCACAGGAGAAAGATGAGGCTGTCTGTTCCTGTAAAGATTGACAAGTCTTTGACGCTCTAGGGAACTGTTCTGTCCTATGGGATCGCTAAGGGTTAGAAGCCACTGGTTTGTTATATAGAGAGGAGACACAGAGAACATCATGTGATGCTACACACCCAAGCAAGCCTGGGACTCCTAGAAGCCAGAAGAGGGCAGAAAGGAACTTCTCCTAGAGCCAACTTCTCAGAATTTGGACTTCGAACCTCTAGAACTGAGACCAATTTCTGACGTTTTAACCCGCTTTGAGTTTGCGGTGGTTTGCTACGGCAGCCCTAGGAAACTGATGGCCAGTGGGTGGTAGCTTACAGTCAGACAGTGGGAGGAGTATTTACCACAGAATGGATCAGTGCTACAAGTCAGGGCTCCTCCCCACCAGGACTGTCGGGAACCATCTGCCAGCAGTTGATGATGGCCGTTATTTCTGAAGTCACAATGAGCTAGCGTCTCTGCAGATTTTTACTGGTTTGGGTTTGTCTGGTGTGAGTAGTCCCTACATTCATTGCCCATCCTAGAAATGGGCTTTCCCCCTGACAAGTCATCTTCGGGGCTTCTTGGAACGGAATGCCAGCATTTGGTATAAATGCATAGTCAGAAGCCCTGGTGGTGCTGTGGGTGAGGCATTGGGTTGCTGAAAGGTCAGCATTTTAAACCCACTGGCTGTTCTGAGCGGGAAAGGTGATGCTGTCTGCTCCCATCAAGACTGATAGCCTTAGACAGCCTCGGTCGGTCAGGTCGCTGTGAGTCAGAATGGAGCCCCAGGCTGTAGGGCAAGCTTAGGGCAGGTGGTCACTATGACTTTACCACCCCAGACAGTGAGTTGCTAAAGCAGAGATAACATAGTTTCACATCAGCCATCAACTGCTTCCTCATCACATGACTGAGAACTGAACATCAGAGCCTTGGCTTGTCCTCTCTCATGAAGGGAAGTGTGCTGTAGGAAACTGTGGGAGAAGAGTACACACGTTCACCTAGGTGAATCAAGATCAAGGAGTTCTGAGCCTTTTTAAAAAAACGAAACTCACTGCGCTTGAGTTGATGCCAACTCACTGTGACCCTACAAGGGAGGGCAGAATTGCCCCCCTGTGCGTTCCTGAGACGGTGACTTGATGGGAGTCCAAAGCCCTGCCTTTCTCCCTCAGAGTGGCTGTTGAGCTTGCAGTTAGCACTTCAGCACCTAACTGCTTCACCAGTAGAAGCTCCTGCTTTTCGAAAAGTCCCGAGTTACCCAGGTCCTGCGATAGTTTTGACCCCAGCAAGATTAGTGAAAGCAAAATATTTCCTGCTGACAAAATCCTCACGATCAAGCCAGTGAACTCAGTTGACCTGCGCTGCCCAACAGATAACACAAGGCACTTAAGTAATGACATTTTTCTAGCAGTCATGGATAGAGCCCTGGTCATCCACCCAGAGGTACCTCAGAAGAAAAGCCTGGCAATTCAACTTCCCCCCCAAACCAACTATTGAAACCTCTAGAGAGAGCACGGTTCTGTCAACCCTGGTGCACGTGGAGTCACCATGGGTTGGAAGTAGTTGCAACCACAACTAGTAACCAAACCAAACTCACTGCCATTGAGTAGATTCTGACTCATAAGCAGCCCTATAGAACTGGGTAGAACTGCCTCTCTGGGTTTCTGAGACTGTAACCCTTTAGGGGAGTAGCAAGCCGCATCGTTCCCTTGAGGAGTAGCTGGTGGTTTTGAACTGATGACCTTGTGGTTAGCAGCCCCAAACATAGCCTACTGTGCCATCGAGGCTCCTTCCACAACTGGTAGGAGTCCTCAAATTTAAGGATGCATCTGAATCACTGGGAGGTGTGGGGCAGGGGGAGAATTGGTGGTGGTGGTGGTGCTGCCTTGCTCTTGAAACATAAGGCAAGCTTGGCGCGGTTCTGATGTAGCACCCAGGCCTGGGAAGCCATGGTCTTGAATACCTTTCTGCCTGTGAGATTGGAAGCCTAGTGTTTCCCACAGCTGCCCCCCTATGGTGTGTAAGAAACAGGATCTCCAAAGACCAAAGATGCTGGGACAGAGGTTATTGTCACACAGCCCCTCAGGCTGAGTCTGTCACGATCAGGGAAGTTTAGGAAACACTGGGTCAGAGGTTCCCAAACTTTACGGCACATCACAGTCAGCTGGGGCGTTGGTCATCCTTGGTACCAATTAAAGTGGACACTCGGTACTTTTTAATGATTCCCCAGTGGTTCCAATGTGCAAAGCGCGAGGCCCGTTGCATCAGGTCGGCAAAGCAGCAACTAAGCAGGCAAGATCTGCCGGCTCAGCAGCTGTAGGCACCACAGGCAGCCTGTTTTCAAGCGGGCCTCCTTGGCGAGGTAATTGCCACCTCCTCTCTCTAGTTTCATTAAACCGTAATGGGCTCATTCAATCAAAATCCAACACTTAGTAAGCCCTCCAGGTGGCACAGGAGTCCCTCGTGGGTGCCCATGTTTAATGAACGTGGCAGCTAACCAAAAGGTTTGGAGGGTCCAGTTCACCACCAGGTGCCTCAGAAGAAAGGCCTGATGATCGACTTCTGAAAAGCCAGCCATCGAAAACTATCGAGTTGTAACGCACTGGGTCACCAGGTGTCAGAATAGACTTGCAGGCAATGGGCTGGGAAGGAGTAAGGGCACCTAAGGGTCAGAGCAGAGGGAACGGTGTGGCTAAGGCAGGCCTACTTACAAAACCCCAACAAACAAAAGGAAGTGAACGCTGAAAACCACACACTGGTTGCAAGTCTGCCCTCTCCACTATCGCTGGCTGAACACTCCGGGAACGGCCGGAAGCTGCAGACCTAACAGGAACTGAGTGGAAATCCCAAACCTTGTATCCTGTCAGCGGATCCTCAGAATGAGGAGAGCCAGGATTGCGACCTTTAGGGCCAAGTCCCCCACCCCCCACCCCACGGCCAAGGGGGAAGCTTAGAGTAATTCAGAAGGTGCAGAAGCAGAAAAAAAAAAAGGCGAGGATGAAAGGGCAGCAGGCTCTGCCTCTAAAACAGAATAGAAGCAGCCCTCTGGGCCTGGGACTTCGGCTATCCCGCGGCTTAGGCCTGGCTGCAGCCACCCAAGCCCGGGGAGGTGGTGTCCCCAGGTGGCGCCACACCTGGAGGGCGCCCGCGGGCTCCTGGCGCAGGTGCGCCCGGCCTGCCCGGCCCCCGGCACCGGGCTCACCCGATGACGTAGGCCAGGATGAGCAGCTGCACGACGCGGTTCATGAGCCCCACTTTACGGCTGCGGATGAGCACGATGCGCGGCGTGTCGTACTCGAACAGAAAAGCCGCCACCGCGGCGCAGCAGCCCGCCATGGCCAGCGCCCACAGCC